AGGAAGACAAAGATAAAAGAAAAGTGAAAAATGAATCAAAAAGAGTTAGAAATTACTTAATTCATTCATTCGTAAAATACGTTCAAACTATTTGTTGTACCAAAATAGCGGAAAATTGTACTTGTGCTTTCATGCTACACTGAATCGGTGTGAAAATACCCAAAGTACATTTGGGTATTTTCACATTCTTCATACAACATTACGTGTGTGTGTGTGTGTGCGTGTGCGTGCACGTGTGGGTATATGTGCGTGTGTGTTTTAGATTTGTAAAGAGAGATCCATTGAGTTGCAATCCGAGTAAGTGTGTGTATGTGTGAATTTGCTTGTACATATGTGTGTTGGTTTGTTCATGCTAGTGTCTGTTGTACACTTGTTTATGTGTGTATGTTTGTGTGTCTGTGAAACAGCGAGACTGTGTGTGCGTTTGTATGTGTGAAACTGTGTGAATGTGTGTGTGTGAAACTGTGTGAATGTGTGTGTGTGTTTTGATTTATAGTCAATTTTAGACAGATCAAGCAATGAATTACATACATAGGTACCACAATGTTCGACAGCATATATTTGTCAGCATATATCTGTCGCTTCTTTATTTCGCGGTCTATTCACTTGAATAAATATTTATGTAAATATATTGAATGACATTTTTGAAGTTTAGAAATGCGATTAAGTTGGCCATATTGAAATGAATGAGAATGATGACGACGAAGATGATGACGACGATGGTCTACTGATTGTGATGTGGTACAGTAAGATGATAATGATGATCGTTGGTGTTTCTACTGTAATGCATTTTACTGGAGGGCGTGATGGCCTAGTAGTCAAAGGCACATGGTTCTGTTTCACAGCGACCCGGTTCGAATACGACAGAAGGTTCTTTCCACTCACATGTGTTGTTGTGGTGCGTCGTTTGCACGTATTCATATAGACCGTTTGTGTGTTCTTCCTCTGAATCTAGGAAAAATGTATATGACCTTTGACCTTTAATTTAATACAGTAATTACTATTATAGACCTTTAACCTTTAACTTAATGCAGTAATTACGACTATTGATTGTTTTTTTTAATAGTGTTGTGGCTGTAGAATAATATTGTTTGAAAAAAATGTTTACGACCAAATGATAAACCACAAATGAAAGACATCATCAACAATTTGTTTTATTCTTTTTTTCTGTTTATTTTTAATAAAATAGAGTTTAATATTTTAAAAATTTAAGATCGATTTAAAATTTTTTTAGGAATAATAAATCATATCTTTTCATTTCATTTCATTGTCTCCAGAACTGATACGGGCTCCCATTTGAAAATAAAAAAAATTACTTTCCGAAGAGTATATTTTAAAACATTTAACCATTTTCGACACAACAATTTTAGTTGTTATATAGTTGTTAATCATTATAAATTAATTTTCACCGTGTTTTTCATCTTCTTCATCTAAATTTTTAGTTTAGTAGTTTCACTGCCAAATCCCTGTAAACAAACATTTTTAAATATTATTTAACATTATTTTTAAAAAATTTATTCCTGCTACAGCGCTGATAAAAATCGATGATCTAAAATGAATCTTTTACTGACAGAGCAGTATAATAAAAAACAAAAAGAAATTCCTCGTCCAATATGTAATAAAAAATAAAAGATACAATTCATCCCCCCCAACAAATCATCCATCCATCTCAGAAACTGCAAGAGCCAGGTGTATCCGGAAACGGATATTACAGCCCTACAGGAGTTGAACAATAACCTCGTACCTACCTTAGGGTCTGCCTGGATCCACATGTTCCTTCTTAATGTCGCCAGTGGCATCATTGTCTACTTCATGTCAACTGTGGCCGCAAAGATTCAAATTCAGCAGGTTGCGTTTTTGCTGTGTTTGATGGTGTTTGCTGTTGTTTTTGTTATTAATTTGTTGTTGTTGTTGTGATGATGTTGTTGTTATTAGTTTTGTTGTTGCTGTCTTTGATGTTGTTGTTAATTTGATGTTGATGTTGTTGTTGTCGTTGTTGTTATTAATTTGTTGTTGCTGTGATGATGTTATTGTTAATTTGTTGTTGATGTTGTGTTGTCGTATAATT